GAGCCAATTAATTTAGTTTTTAATACAAAAAAATAAAAACTACTACTTAATATATATTTTTAAAACATTTATTACTGATGGCACCTATAGCTCAGTGGGCAGGGTGCCGAGACTGGCAGATTTGAACCCAGCCTGGGCCAGCTAAGCAACAATGATAACTGCAACAACAACAAAAAATAGCTGGACATTGTGGCAAGTGCCTGTAGTCCCAGCTACTTGGGAGGCTAAGGCAAGAGAATTGCTTAAACCCAGGAGTTGGAGGTTGCTGTGAGCTGTGATGTTACAGCACTCTACCGAGGGTGATGTAGTGAGACTCTTGTCTCAAAAACAAACAAACAAACAAAAATTATTGCTTTGCCAATTAAGTTTTTCAGATGAGAAGTAAAAATAGAGCATAATTATATCTCTAGGACTCATCTTTGCTGCTTGGCTTATTCATAGTTTTAAGGGGCTGACTGCTGTAAACTTCTCCTGAGTTGTATCTGAAGCTTTTGTTGCTCACTTTGATTAAACTATATGGTTTCTTCTTTTGCTTCCTCCCTTAATGCAGTTATGATTATGTCATTTGGAAATTATTTAATTACATTATTTAGCATTTATGGTGTATCTTATCACTACCATTAATATGTAGCACAGACTATATAGCAGACCTTTTTCATCACCATAAATGCATTTTGTATTGCAGTTTTATAAATTAGGGGATCATTCCAGTGAGCTTTATAAGAGGCTTACCTGGGTTTCCTTGAAATGGATAGTCTTCCTCCTGTGTTTAAAGTACCCTTCTTTCCAAATTTTTGTGTCTTCTCAAAAGCTCCACTGCCTTAAGTCAAAGAAATAGAGTTGATTTTAATAATGTCAACAAATAAGTATTTTAGAAAGTTTCATTATAGAAGACATCCACCTTCGTAACCCTGACTTTTGTGATCTTTCATTGCAGCAGTTCTTGGCCTCTGGAGGTTGAGGGGACTATGCACAGCCTTTAGGTTACTTAGAGAATGTGAAGAATATAGTCTGATTTAATCCTCAGAGAATTTTCAGACTATTTCAGTCTTCATCTCTGTTTTGGTCAGCAAAGTGTCAATAAATCCTATAAACATTTTTTAACAGTTGTCTATATTAAAATCTGTTTCTCTACAAGGAAAACTTGCAGCTTACTTATGGATGGGAATTTTGATGTTTTCTTAATTGCATTTCTTAGATATAAGCTAATATGAATTTTACTAATAGTACTTTATAAAATTCTGAATTATATAAATACAGTATATGGAAGACATTGGATTTTAAGGGATTAATTTGTTGTAATAGGGTAAGAGATAAGTCATAAGGTTTTAAATTCGTATTTCTTATTTATTAATGTCTTATTGAGATAAGCTTGATTATAGTACAGTGGTTATTAAACTTGTAATATAGGCTTTCTTTCACACATGAAGATAATGCAACTACATTCTCACTAGCAGTGCACATACATATCTAAGTTCTTTTTTACCAGTGATGGCAGTGGCTTATACTTATGCATCTACAAGAATTGTTAGGAACTAAACTAAGTTTTAGAGGATAATAATAAGCTTCCTATGAGCCAGATAGTTTCTGTCTTTATTTATTTATTTATTTATTTTTACAGTTTAATGTATTTTAATAGCAGACTTACAGGAACAGCACAGAAGACAGACAACATTAAAAACATGTACTTGCATGTAGGACAACTCAGTTAGAAAAATATAGTGAATGGATGGAATCTACTGTATGATAAAAATGCTACAAACACCATTTAGTTGCCGTCAATAAGAAATTTACTTACTTTAAAAAAATCCAAATGCTGGCCTTGTCCAGAAAAATTTGACAGGTTTATTTATAATTGTTATAAAGTTGAACTGCTGAAACTTGTTCACTGAAACATTTTGACTTGCTTTAATGCTGAACATCCCCACATTTTATTTTTTTTTAATTTTTTAATTTTTATTATATTTTATTTATTTATTTATTTATTTATTTTGAGACAGCGCCTCAAGCTATCCCCCTGGGTAGAGTGCCATGGCATCACGCTCACAGCAACCTCCAACTCCTGGGCTCAAGCGAGTCTCCTGCCTCAGCCTCCCAAGTAGCTGGGACTACAGGCGCCTGCCACAACGCCTGGCCATTTTTTGGTTGCAGCCATCATTGTTGTTTGGCGGGCCCGGGCTGGGGATTTGAACCCGCTACCTTAGGTGTATGTGGCTGGCGCCTTAGCTGCTTGAGCCACAGGTGCTGAGCCCCCGCATTTTATATTAAAAATTCACACACAAATGAAAATGGAAAAACTGCCAATACCTGATTTCTGTCCCCTATTTTTCCAGTTGCAATCATAAACGTAAGTATCTTTTGACCCCATGGGGGGAAAAAATCTAACGCTCAGAACTACCAATAACAGGAAGAAGAGAATTTTTTTTTGATAATGAAATGTTTTCCCATCATAGCAGACTCTTAAGCACATTCTCCACGTATGCGGCGTGCCAGCTGGATGTCTTTTGGCATAATTGTTAAACGTTTGGCATGGATAGCACACAGGTTGGTGTCTTCAAAAAGGCCAACCAGATAGGCCTGACTTGCCTCCTGCAAAACACCAATAAGTTGCGCTCCGGAAGCGCAGATCTGTCTTAAAGTCCTGAGCAATTTCTCACACCAGATGCTGGAAAGGAAGTTTGCGAATCAGAAGTTCAGTGGACTTCTGATAACGTCTTATTTCATGGAGTGCCGCAGTACCAGGCCTGTAGTGATGAGGTTTCTTCACCCTTCCAGTAGAGGGCACACTCTTGCGAGTGGCTTTTGTAGCCAGATGCTTCCTGGGTGCTTTGCCTCCTGTGGATTTGCGGGCAGTCTGCTTTGTACGAGCCATGGTATAAAGACCTCCTTACTGACCTCCTTTCTTCGGCCGGAGCTTGTCAAGCTACAGGCGGTGCTGGCGTTAGACGGCGGCTGCGAACACTGAGCCAGATAGTTTCTAAGTGCTTTCCAAGTCTCTCATTTAAGAATATTTTAGAGTACCATTATATTTTTTTCCTTTTTCGTATAGTTTCCTTTCAAACAGTTGTAATAATAGAAAGCAAAATTTTTTATGTCCATTTACTCATTTGACAAAAATATTTGAAGGGATTTTTATGTCCCGTGGGCTCTGCAAGGTGATATTATTTAGAGATTTCTAATTCAGACCACGGTAATATTCTTCCTACTCAATAGTTTTAGAATACCCACTGAAGTTTTACCAACCGAAGATTTTGTGTGTATATAAACTTATAACAAGTTCTTGATGAGGTCTTGGACTCTTTAGCCATCTGATGTGGCTGAGAACATCAGGAGTGAACAGAGGCATAAACAGCTACCAGTAAGTGATCTACTTTAAAGTGTTTCACTTCGTAATATGACCAGTAGTGACAGATACTGACTCTG